CTGCTGCCCTGCTGCTCAGTCATCAGTGCCCAATTTCAAACTGAGGAGACTGAATTATTATTCAGCATCTACATGCAAATCCAATTTTACCATCAAGGCTGTAATTTGCTTTCTTAAATGTTAAGAATCTCATTGGCTGAGATGGAAGGGTAGCATATACCTGCCTGGTGTGCCAATGTATTTGCAAATTATTCGGCATATGAAAATGGTCTGTTTATTTTTTCTGGTCTATTATTAAGCAGTGACAAAATGTTGAAACAAATAGCAGCTTTCCTCTGTCTTTCATCAACACAGTCTCTTTTCAGCAGCAAACAATTGTCCCTGTGCCAATTCAGTGTGGGTTTGCTCGGAGTTCATTTTATGCACTATATCTATTTACTCTTCCTTTTTAGTGGTGTGTTCGGGAAATGGGCGTGCATGTCTGCTCACGCATGAACTACAATACATGGGCATGCACTGTAGTTGGCGTGTGTGAGAGAATAATGATTGGAGCTGGCGGAGGAGCTGCCTGTCATCTCCAGCAGCAGCTCATTAGGAGAGAGAAGAAAGCAGCCTCTTCCTCTCAGAGCAAACCATGAAAGCTGGAAGTCTGTAGCAGCCCAACAGTTCTCTGAATATACAAAACATTTTAATATGTGTGATCTCAAGAGGCAGCCAAAGGAGTTTTATATTCAGTTCATTTTTTAAATAGAAAAGCCTGTGAATTAAAAGGAGCTGATTTGGTTAAAGTAGTTTATAAAACTGCACTTACTGCAGTGAAGTATATTAAAGCAACACAGTGTTTCAGAGTTTTCCTACCAATCAACATCAGTGTTAAATGCAAACGTGGGCTACAGGACATCTGTCATATATTTTTGGTAGGTCATTTATTATGGTGCTCTGTGCTCACAATTTAGCACACTGGTATTATCTACAAAAACATCAGTGAGCCTTAAAGGATAAGGTCAACCATTGTGTTAAGCGCTCCCCATACAGAGATTAAAGCCAACGGTGGATTGTGTGTCAGTCCTGGATTAGCTTATCCGCCTGTGCCATAGAGCTCCACTGTTGTTCAGAAATGATCAGAAACACATCAGTGAAACACAACATTGCACTGGGTAATGTTTCCTCATTATGAAACACTAGATCTTGGTCATACCATTTAGGCCATAACAACAGCCAACTGTGCATACATGAGACCTCCAGATATTTTCAACATAAAGAGGAGCATAACACATGTGACCCTGAATAACCAGTATCAGGAAGTGAGTTGTCATCTGGCTCAGTTTACCTGAGTTTTCCAGTTTAGCTCAGAGAGGCAGACTACATAATTACACAAAGAACATACTGTACATGACCCAACTTCATTAGAGTAAGAGTTGTAAAAACATCAGGGTCCATATCAAAATATTACAAGTAAGGCTATAATAAGTGTGAGAATTAATATGTCTTCTTTAAAAATGTCCAGAGATCGGGTCGTCGGGCCCCTGCCTTCGACTGCTGCCCAATCCAAAGTGCACCGGACCCTTACGGATCCTCCTGCAGGTGGTGGACCCAAATATGTTCAATATGCTCAACATGTTCAGTAGGGTAGAGTGAGGTTGTTTTTGTCTATAGGAAAACTTATAGTAAAATGGTTTCTGCTACAAAGATGAGAAGAGGAAGGGGAAGAGAAAATGTCTGTGTGACTGAAATGTTGCACTGATGATTTAGTGAGATCTAATTAAGAGTGTGAATGTTTTCTAATAAAATACAACAGTGGGTACACTTTTTTATTTTTAATTATCACATTGTTGCCTCATAATAAAATGTCTTTATGAAATTAGAGTGGACATGGAAAGCTGGGAACAGCAAAGTGATTCTACTGATGGAAATGTCTCTGTTGCTTGTCATTTTCTGTCACTTTATCACAAAACCAGCATTTTTGCAGTAATCTGATTGGCCACCAGGTTGTTGATGGTTTTTATATGATCAACTAAGGTTATTCTGAGAGGTTAATATATTTCACAAAAGCAGAATTAAGAAACCCAGAACAACAAGACTGAGTGAGGCTTGACTTAGT